GACTTTAAATACATGAATAACGATAGTAAGAAGGATCTAGAGGGACTCTGTTCTGACTGTTGAGCAAACAGAAGCACATAGACTCTGAAAAATCACTGCCAACATGATCCAATATATATTCACTCTCACTGATTCTGTATCAAAGGTGCTCAAGTTTTATAAATCCAGAAATGTTTTTACTAACTTCCAGCACCACACACTCCACCTGGGATCTGGCTATTCAGCTGGGCGCGTCCTGGCTCTCACTCTGTCGCTCATTATAAAGATCCTGCCATCAGAACTCAGCTGAGAGTTTTGCTTACACATTGCAGGGAAAGAACAGAATCCAACTCACCAACTAGCTGTGTGGCTAACAGGAGTAAAACCTGGTTACTGTCAGTCAAGGGAGCAGGTGAGGCTCAAAGACACACAGAGAGCAGAATTGTGGAGAAGGAACGAGCCATAATTACTCAGTCACTTTTCTGACCCCAAGCATAACGTTATGACACTCTGCATGGGAATTTGACCATGTGGCCTTCACAAAAAGAATCAGATGCCTAAATTCCTGGGCCTCTTCAGACAATCAGAAGTCCGGAAGGGAGAGCTGGTAAAATGAGAGGCTGGCAGGCTGAGGTAGGAATCACTGATGACTGTACAGCAATCATAGCATTGTACCATGCATAGATCTGTCAGATGAGCTGGTGTGAGATTGCAGTGTCAAATCCAATGTCTCACATTAACAGCCTGATCAATAAATGTAACTCTAATTTGTACCCAGGCCAGGTCTGCTCTTCACAACTGGCCACTGTTCAACACATAACAGGAAGTGAGTCAGATACTGATACGATTCTCCTTGTTCTCCTAGATTTCTCAGTCAAAGAATGAAGAAAGGAGTGATGCTCGTGTTACTGAACCAATCTGTCACTTCTGGAGATGGTGGCACAAATTTGTTTCACATGACAAGTGAAGATGAGTTTGTAATTCTCATCCTTATCGACTGAGTATACATTTGTCCGTAGTGTCAAACTGCTGCCATTCAGCATGACTGGAAAGACCCAGGCCTGGAGGGGCATCGGCAGAGCTGTGCAGGGAGCCCAGGACTGGAGTAGCAGTGGGGGCTGCAGATCAGGAGAGAGGGGCATTGGCAGAGCTGTGTGGGCAGCCCAGGACTGGAATGGAGGGTGACTGAAGCAGCCAGGGCATTGGAAGAGATATGTGTGGGATAGCAAGGAGTTTTGTAGGTCAAAAGCTGTGTGGGAGACTCGCTCAGCACCTGGCTCGCTTTGGTCTAGTCTACACAGGGAAATCCAGGGAAGTTAATCCAAATTAACTAAAGGTATCAATTTGAAGTGGATTAGTTAAACTGCATTAAACCCCTGTGTGAACACCCTCATTCGGGGCTCGTCTGCACTATGGGCACTACAGCAGCACAGATACAGCACTGTAGCGGTACCACTGTAGCACCAGAGTGTAGATGCTTACTAAAGAGATGGAAAGGGTTTTTCTGTCACTGTGCATGATCCCCTGCCTGAGAGAAAGTATCTAGATCGAGAGAAGCATTCTTCTGTCAACAGAAAGGCATCTACACTGGGCTTTAGGTCGGCATAGTTACAATGACCAGGGGGTATCGATTTTTCACCTCCCTTCATGACGTAGCTATGTAGATCTAAATTTTAAGTGTAGACCAGGCCTCAGAATTAAAGCGGCCTTAATTTTGTTTAGCTTAATTCACTTCCATAGTAAATTAAACTAAAGCAAATTAAGGCCGCTTTAATTCTGAATAACAGCAGCTACCCAGGGATTTAATGTGGTTTAAATAATCCATTTCAAATTCAATCCTTTAGTTAATTTGGATTAATATTCCTGACTGTCCCCAGGTAGACAAGCCCTTGAGCGAACACTCATGCAACAAACTCACTCAAAATGTAAAAAGAATATAGGCGAAGTTGCCTGGCTTTTGTTCTGCCTTCCCCTTGCTCTTGCCAAGTTCTGCGCTCTGCCTTTCTATAAAAGCTGCAAAACTGTTTTCTGTCTCCCCACTGAATTGCATTGCTACAGACAGTTTCCTTTCATCTTCCTTCACAGCCTTCAGCCTGGTGGGGTGCTAGAAGTGTAACCAGGCTTCCTCTCCTGCTATTGTTACCTCCCCAGAGTCCTGGGGGCTTTCAGCATTCCAAGACTATTGTTGTCATAGGACCATATGGATTGGTCATCTATACCTCCAGTGTTGTCCGGGACCTGATGTACCTAGTCCATTGTGCAACAGTGGACATGGATATGCCTTGTACCTTACTTTCGGAGACAGGTTGAGCTATCAATCAGGTCTCCAATGATCAGAGCAGTGTGGCATAGTGGATAGAGCACTGGACTGGGACTCAGGAGACCTAAGTACTATTCCCAGCTCTGCCACTGGGCTGCTGGGTGACCTTGGACAAGTCACTTGCCCATTCTGTGCCTCAGTTTCCCTACCCCTGCTCCATTGTAAAGCACTTTGAGCTAGGGTGACTAGACAGCACATGTGAAAAATCGGGACCGGGGTGGGGGGTAATAGGAACCCATATAAGAAAAAGATGCAAAAATCGGGACATCTGGTCACCCTACTTTGAGCTCTACTGATGAAAAGCACTAGATCAGAGCTAAGTATTACTATTTGTGCAAGTATTACTCACTGGTGAGTGTGTATTACAAGTCCCCCTCTGTGCCCATTCACCTACACAAGCAGGTCAGGACCCCGCCCTGGGTTTAGCTGAACCTCCCCAAGAAAAATAACCTTCCCTCCTACTCAGCCCCAAGTTGTCTCCCAAAGATACTGGCCGATTTGATTTTTGTGGCATGGTCTAAGCCCTCAAAAGAGCTGAACAATGGCCTCCCCCTCAGAAATGTACCAACCTATTTGATTTCTGGGTTGTTGGGCAGAGCCCATCAGGGCAGCACACGGGCTGTCCCTCAGGTGTGAGGAGGCGACGCAGATCTCAGAACATCAACTAATTACATGGGGCAAAGAATGAAAAACAGGGACGGGGAGCAGGTCACAAGGCCACAGGGAATCCTTAGGGGGACACTAAGCAGAGAGCTGTTGACAAAGAGGCCAAGGAATCAGTGCAGCCAAAAAGTGCCAGATGGACAGCCAGGGATACTGAACTCCTTTCTTCATCCATAAAACAGGTACAGCACAGAGCCAGCTTTCCGGCATTGCTCTGCCCATGTGTTTTCATAATAACCTAGAGGGACTGTCTCTAGAGATGAGAGGGTAATTCAGTCTCCAGGCCCTAACCAGTCCTTGGCCTCTCCACTGCAACCACCAGAGAGGGTCCAATGAGTGGGAATTCAGGGGGCAGCTTTTGTGCTGTGTCCCCAGGGTGGATTGAACCCCACCCAGCTCATTTTCACAAGGCCACCAAAACAGCCACTGGAGGCTAATGACTTTCAATCACTCCTGACCCAGGCTGGCTTTGAGACCGTGACCCAGATGCCCAAGTCTCAGTAGCAAAGTGGCTGTTTAATTACACGATTCTAGCTCAAATTCTGAGCACAGGGGCTTTGACATTGCTGTTTGTTTTCTTATTTGAGAAGCTCAAGAGAATCTCAAGACTTAAAAGCAAACCCTTGAAAGCAGAGAATTTCCAATCACATAAAAGTCTCTGTGCAGGCCAGGGCTGAAGAGGGGGTTTGTGACTTTAATCTTTGCATATCCCTTTCTCTCCTCAAGAATCTCTCTCTTGCACACACACACTCACTGCTCCCCCCACCTTCAATAGTATAATACGCCTAGAGTGGGAAAGATGAGGAGGAGGTGGAGGAGGGAGGAGGAAGCAAGCCCTCCCGCCCACCCCCATGCTGAGTCCGAGTAGACTTTGTGAGAAAGCGTCTCTCCAGCTGCAGCCCAACCCGGTGGGAGTCAATTAATTCTGAATAACCTAAACCGACAGAGGTATTTGCATTCACAACCTGACTGATGACCGTATAAAATTGATTTATGAATTGAAGTGCTTCCCCTCCCCTTATCCCCGATTCAAGCCATAATTGATTATATGTGCTGCAGCGAAATTAAAGAAAAGAAAATTAAAACAAGAAAGAAAAAAGGGAGGCCCCACAGATGCTGCTCTATATTCTCAAGGTTTCCCGGGATTAGCCGATCTATTCATCGCTTATCATTTTTTATTTAAAAAGTTGCTTCCCCTCCCCACCCCGGCGACCACCACCTCCCACTCCGGGATGCAGCCCATTGCGAAGGACCGAGAGAGGTGGATGGGAAGGTGCAGTCCGACTGCCAGGAAACTAGCAATTTGGCTGCCCTACAGACATATGGGAGTGGAAGGGTTCTCAAACCTGATGCCCTTACTGGTGGGGAAGGAGAGCCCGTTCTTAAACCTGTGTTGAGTGCAATAACAATGGTAGACCTCAATCCTGCAGAGGCATAAGCACACACTTAACTTTATGCCTTTTGAGTAGTCCCATTGTGATCCTTTGCAGGATGGGAACTTGACTTTGCCCTTCAACGGTGCTTTCTGTCTGACGATCTCTAATACCACCACCTGCATGGTGTCTTTCATCCATACATCGCACAGCATCCATACCCACAAAGGTGGGTAACTATAGCAATATAGGAATTAACAAAACCAGCTCAGAGCCATGGTCCATCTAGTTCGGTCCCTGTCCGTGACCAGCATCAGCTGCTTCAGAGGAAGGTAAAAAAACCCTTCCAGTAGGCCAGGGGTAGGCAAACTACAACCCGGGGGCCGCATCCAGTCCTCCAGATGTTTTAATCCGGCCCTCGAGCTGGGGAGCGGGGTCTGGGGCTTGCCCTATGCCACACAACTCCCAGAAGCAGCGGCATGTCCCCCCTCTGGCTCCTATGCGTGGGGCAGCCAGGGGGTTCTACACACTGTCCCCAACCCCAAGTGCTGACCCCGCAGCACCTATTGGCTGGAAACCATGGCCAATGGGAACTACAGGGGCAGCACCTGTAGACAGGGCAGCGCACAGAGCTGCCTGGCTGTGTCTCCGCATAGGAGCCGGAGGGGGGTCATGCCGCTGCTTCTGGGACCTGCTTGAGGTAAGTGCCACCCAGAGCCTGCACCCCGGACTTCCTCCCACTCCCCAGCCCCCTGCCCTGATCCCCCTCCTGCCCTCCGAACCCCTCGGTCCCAGTCTGGAGCATCTCCTGCACCCCAAACTCCTCATTCCCAGCCCCACCACAGAGCCCGCACCTCCAACCGGAGCCCTCCCCCACACACCCAACCCCCCTGCCCCAGCCTGGAGCCCCCTCCAGCACCCTGAATGCCTCATTTCTGGCCCCACCCCAGACCCTGCACCCCAAGCCATAGCCTTCACCCCCTCCCACACCCCAACCCCCAATTTGATGAGCATTCATGGCCCGCCATACAATTTCCATACCCAGATGTGGCCCTCAGGCCAAAATGTTTGCCCACCTCTGCAGTAGGCAGTGATAGGACAACCTGCTCCAGAGAAAGTTTCCTCCTGACCCCCAATAGGTCAAGGTTGGCTTGAACCCTGAAGCATGTGGGTTTATGTCCCTGCCAATTTTCTTTAATTACTGTTCTAACCCTGGATATTCTCATTATCCCATTCTTTTCATTGACTCATCTCTTTGTCATTCAGATTTATACAGATGGGAAAACGACTGTAAAGAGAGGTGAGGTGACTAGCCTAAGGTCACCCCGGGGTTCAGTAGCAAAGTCAAGAACAGCAGGTAGGTAAGCTGATCCCCATTCTAGTTCCCCTTCCTCACTCCCTTCTTCTAAACAGTTGTCAAACATTCAAGAGACTCAAAGCTTCTCAGACAGAGGGAGGTGATTTTTTTACCAGAGCCAAGCGAGACATTTCCCTTACAGACCCCAAGCCCTATGAAACTCCCCTGGGTTAGGATTTCATTATAAATCCATTACTCACACCAGGCTCATCTCAAAGTAATTTAAGGCTCACAAGCCTTTTGAACGACAGCTGCAAAGTTTGGGCCTGAAGCCAGAGCTGAACTCTCCCAAAGTTCAGGTGTGTTTGGCTGCAGACTTTGCTTTGGCTCCATCTCTGGTTGACATGATTTTTAATCATGCAGTTTTGCACTGCTTTAGTATTCATAGACTCAGATGTTTAAGGCCAAAAGGGACCATTGAAACCACCTAGCCTGACCTCCTCATAACACAGGCCTATTTTACAGATATGGAAACTGAGGTGTTGAAAAGTAATTTTTAGCTATTGGGAGCAGCTGGAAAGAGGAGGTTAGGCTAGCAATCGGAGCTAGTGTCACGCTATGATCTACATCTAATTGAATCTAGTCAGATGTTTCTAAAGTGCACAGGCATCAGTTTAGTCTACAGGTGCAATATCTAGTCTGATGAAGACTTCAAAGGCATAAGTACATCTATCAAGACTACATAAGGTTGCCACACCTGATGTGGACATTGCTGATCACAGGCAGGGAACTAAATGAGTAAACATCAAATGAAAGATTTCCCTTGGCTGCTTAGAAAGCCTGTTGGGAAGGAGCTGATCCAGGGACGGTTGCATGGCTAAATGAGTGGGGCTAGCTGTCGAGTTAAAGGAGAATCCACTTTGCCTGCCGCTTTCAGGCCTAAAAGGACTGCAGCCAAAGGTTTCAGGTGAAGGCCATATCCTGACCTTCATGAATGAGGCATTAATTTGAACAGACAGGAACCCCATACAGATGCGTAAAGCAGGTGCACATGGGACTAAAAGACCCTGAGGTTGGCCTGCCTTCTGCCCAATGGCTAGCGACTTCAGAAAGTTCAGAGCTATTCCCCCTCCCTCCACACTGGCCAGTGAAGTAGGTCCCTGGTGGGGAATGTTCACTGCACCCTGTCAGAGGTTGGTTGGGTGGTGGCTATGCTCCCTGTGTGCTGCGGGATGTACGATGCCTGCCTAATGTATGGTGTCTCCGGAGCGTCTTCTGGGGGTGGGGAGGGGTGCCTTAAGGGCACAATTTAGCCCAGAGATGAGTTGTTAAAGTTTGGCTGTAGACACTGATTGTCCAACAGCTTGTTCTAATGGCCAGTTGGACTTCTTAGATGATGATACCGCCGTGCACTGTAACATAGATAGTAGTCCCGTCCATGACTAATAAATCCAGCCCAAAGCTAGGGAGAGTCTGTGAGGTGACATGAGGCAGCATGAGCTGTGTCAGTCAGTCTGGGAGCTGGAGAACTAGCGAGAACCACGGGGTCTGTCTGTGTCCAGCAGCCTCAGTAAAGACTCCCCTTTGTATTCAATATGGCCCAGCCCTGTCTCTTCTCCACTGTAAGGAACATTACAGATGCCAACTTCTAAAAGTGTATAGCTGGAACCTTATCCTGAGCAATATAGGAAGGTTCCTACATCCTGGCTGTTAAATGAGTGTAGAAAGAAGTTAATAGAGGAGACAAAAGGGCAGCTTGAAGAGGAGAAGAGGTGGGTAGAGGGAACAGGAAATGTAGGGATGGGGATTGGGACAATCAGGAGAAGGAAAAGGGACAGTTTTATAATGTCTCTTCCATTTTTTCATACACATCATTTAAATCTGAATGATTTTTATTGTAGATGAAGGAAGAACAATAGCAAGAAAGAAAGAGAATGGAATTGATGTCTCCATTAGAGAGCACAAGGTGTGTGTCTCCACCACATCAAGCAGCAGCAACTCTGAGAACAAAATGGTGGTTGGAGCTGCAAATTAAAGTTACGGTACACAGAAAATAAAGGCATAATGCAGAAAATAAATGCAGTTTCATTACTCCATATGTCCTTACAAATAATTATAACAACAAACTGCTTCTGTATTACCATCGTGCTTAGGAGCTTCTGTCATGGACCAGGACCCCATTGTGCTAGGCGCTGTACAAACACAGAACAGAAAGATGTTCCCCGCCCTAAAGAGCTTACAAACGGAGTGTAAGACAAAGGACACCAGCTGGAGACAGTTTGTAGCTCTGCAGACATTTTAAAACTTTTGTTTGCTATAAAGACTGATTCAGTTTCCACTGAAGTTAATGGAAATCTTTCTATTGACTTGAATGGGAACTGGATAGGCCCAAATGTGAGCATTGTTTGATGTGCCAAATGTAGTTTTCATAACACACATTGAGCCAAAAATGACGCTTGGGTCACAAACTGCTGCTGAAACTGCAGTTGGGCATCTGGGGGATGGAGAATGGAACCAGAGGGTTCAGAGAACAGTAACAGAGAAAAGTTTAGAAAAATATTCACAGATAAGTATATTTCAAAAAGTTCCCATTCCCTGCTTTTTTTTTAAAATCCTTCTACTAGGAACTATTTTTTGTAGCAGAAGGAGCTGCTGCATAATGCACTCCTGTCTTCCAATATTTTTAAATGTTAAAAAAAAATAATCTGCCACACTCTAATAAGCTACATGTCAGTCAGGGTGGGCATTAGTTAGCTATTGGACCACTTTATGGGTGGTTAAAGGCCCTCAGCATTTGCCCTGTTGTCTGACAATGCACCTAAGGCTTGCACCACTTGCTGTCTCTAACTCCCCCTGTTGTGGTTTTGGGGTTATAACTTGGTCTGTGATCATGCCCTCATTCTGTCATTGTACGGGATCTGTTCAATCGTTACAGAGTGAAACAAAATAGTGTAAGGAAATATCTATTTATCAGGGGGGAATTCATCCCCATAAAGAGAGACACCAAAATGCCTATGCACACACCACTGAAGTCCTAGTTACGCCCTCAAAGTAGGAAAGAGAACAACTCTCAGTTGGTGATTGGTGATGGTGCTGGCTCCTACACCAACTGCTCCCCCTGCCCATGTAGGGGGCATGATGGGGCTGGAAGACAGAGAGGGAGGAATGGAGCTCTGCTCCCCTATAACAATTCTCAGCTGGTGTCTGACTCCTTAGGGACCATAGTCAGATGTTGTAAGTAGGAGCAGCTCTGAGGCTGTTTTAATTTACACCAAGGTTGAGGCCAGGGCAGCCTGAGAATCAGGTAGTTGTAATTAGCCAAGTGCCAAGCTATGCTTGGCTCCTCCTCCCATCACATCCACACAATCTTCTGCACCAAGCGTATCTTGGCACAGGAGACAGGCTGGTCTATATTTTTTTAACCCTTTCTTTCCCCAGTTTTAATAACCTGAGCTGCTGAGGAAATTTTTTAAATAGATGTCTTTGATCTTCATGGTACATTATTATTCCTTATTTGTCTTATGGTAGGTCTTAGGGGGTCCCACCAAGATTGAGGCCCCACTGCACCGGGCACCGTATACACTGAGAGTGAGAGATGGTCCTCATTCTGAAGAGCTTATTATTTTAATATCACATACGGCAGGTCATTTGTAGATACAGCACTTATTTAGGCAATGTAAAATTCAAAATGCAAAGTAAATATTTTTCTAAACAGTAGAGGCCCTGCGCTCATGCCTGGCTGAGCTGTGCTTTGCACACAGCTCAGACAAGCGAGGGGACAAAAGATGGCTATATAAGATATGCTTCAGTCAAATACAAGGTATTGGGCTCAATGCAGGGATAGCTGAGTGAAATGTGTTTTACAGGAGGTGTGCCTAGATGATCACAATGGTCTCTTCTGAGTCTATGAACTGATATGCCACTTTAAAATCCTCACGTCCCCTGGAATGCGGGGGGTGGGGGGATGATCCAAACCCAGCACAAGTTAGAGCAGCTTCTGGGCTCCCCAGCCATACCCCTAAGCTAGGCAATGTAAAGGGGGTGCCTAGGGTAGCTTTAGAGTCACTTTGCACCACTGGAGCAGCTCACATGATGGGGGCCATTGCAGAGGCTGGGATCTTGCCCTAGCTGCTGAGGGATCAACGTTTTTCAAAGCATGTCAGCATCTCAGTTCTCTCGCTGTTTCCCAGATACTGGATAGGCACCTGAGAAATGTAACCGATTTCCATTTCTTTCCATTTGGAAAGTAGCAAAAAACCATTCAGACTCTTTTATAAACAAATCCTCTCATCAACGTTGACTTTTGTTAATTGAAAAAGGTTTTATGAGAGTCAAATCAAAATTCCATCTGTGATGCGAGCGCAGCTCCACACAAGCAGGGTTGTAAGAGAGAGGAAAATCTGCCCCCCGCCCTTCCCCAAATATGTATTTAATTTTTGGAGGGGGGAAATAAACATATGGAGCCAGAGTTCCCAAATTACATATGGAGAGGGAGATTTTCCATGCTGATTCCTTAAGCCCAGAAAACACAGGGCGGGTTGTTTCTAGAAACGGCAACTCAACAGCCGTGCCAGCAGGTCGTATATTACAATCTGCTATAAATCCAGGAGGGGATGCAAAACAGAGAGATTGTTCCTAGATTTCACTGGGTTTAAATTGAAATTCCATCCACTCTTTCCTTGTAGCAGCAACCCCCAAAGCCCTGGGACATTGTGGAAAAAAACAAGATTTCATCTCCATTTACAGCTTTTTTCACTTCAGAAAAATAAAAGTTTTTCCAAAATCACTTTTCCACTCAACCCCTCTCTGGCCTCCCCCCATCTCCGTACCAAAACAGCCACACACACAAAAAAGTTTAAAAGACATTCTTTATTTCCCCTCACAGCTGCCCCTGTGCAGCCCCCCCCCTTGCTCCAGTGCATGCTGGGTAATGCCATGTATTCTTAGACTCCCAATGGCCCCCATTACTGTCAATTAGTTACGGAATGCTACTGGGATTCATGCCTGACAGCTCCAGCAAAGCAGGAGAAATGGGCTCAGTAGGGAGCGAGGGGCCTGCCCTTTTTTTCCTCCACCCCCACCCCCCACGAAAAATACCTTTCTCAGCAAGGCTTTCTAACGGCCGCCTCTGCCCCCCATCCACTCTATCTGCACGCACACACATGACGTGTGCTCGTGTATATTGTGCTGGATGGTGAGAACGCTCGGTTTGGAGGCTCCAAGAAAGTTGATCTCCTGAAATAAGGGGGGTCTTCAAAATCCTTGCGTGTTTCTCTCAGCAGCCCCCAAGGGCCTCCTGTTACAAACCCCTTGGCTTCAACTCCCTGAGTGTGTAACATCTCACTCCTCTCCTCCAACCCTTCCCACCCCCCTTCAGAAGGAGCTGACAGGTCAGAAGGTTAACTTTATTCTGTATCAAGTGTGGGTCTCACTCAGCAGAATCCGCTTCTTGCCCATTTCTGCTGCCCTCCAATGTGAGTGCAACTCCCCCAACCCTGGAAATCCAACACAATAAAGGTCTAGGAGGACAGGTTGCTCCAATAATCTCACTGCAAATGTTTGCACAGCAAGGTTTTAAGGAAGACGTTTAGGATTTAACTGTTTGGGGGTTTCTCTGGACACACTGCAGAAATGAGATATCATTGGAGGGAGAAAGCGTCGCCACTCTCTGACCCTCGGCACTTGGTTCCTAAACATACCCATGGCATTCTCAGAGAAGGGGGGAAAAGGGTGTGTATCATATAAGCCCCAGTTGTGTCACCTGTAGCACTGCCATTTAGAAATGGAGCTAACTTGCTTCCAGCCTGGTCCCCTGCTTGTATCATCCTAACTGGTTTGATTTTTAAATAACACTTCACTCTTCCATAGTGCATTTTACAAACATTGGACCAGATCCTAAACTGGCAAAAATCCATGAAGTTCCCTGACTGCTTTGGAGCTAACCCAGTTTACATCAGCTGAGGGTCTGGCCCACACAAACTAGTGTTGACGGATGGTATTGTGGGTAAAGAAGAGGATTTGGGGGTTCTATTCCTCTCTCTGCCACTGACCCTCAGTGTGGCCTTCTCAAGTCACTTCACCTCCCTTTAGCAGGGCCAAGTGCAAACATATTCTTTGGTTTTGCCCCATGTGGCTTCACTTTCCCTCCGCTGTGCTTCAGGCTGAAAGCACAATTCAATTTAAGCCAATGAGTTTCACCTGACTTCAATCAGAGCTGGCTCAAAACCAGCATCTTCCAGCTGAACCATTTCGAAGGCCAACAAACTGTCAGATTAAAATCCCTGGTCCTGAATCCTCCCCGACAGTTTTAGTTCCTGGACAGACCCAAACCCAGGAGAGGCTGGTTTTTGGGCTGGGATGTGGCTGAAAGCCTGAGGTGCAGCCCACGCTGGAGGCAGCTCGTACAAGCAGCTGATCTGCCATTGAAATTTCTGCCATTCTAAGGGATGAAATCCTTCAACAACAGAGATTTCAGTACCATTGAAATACGCTACCAACTCATTCCCTGATATGGTCTCCAAACTGAACCCTGAACCTTAGACAAATCCAAAATCAGAATGTGACAATACCCACATGTAGCATGGGCCCACATGTAGCATGGATGAAATATTATAAAGTGTCCCTGATTTACTCAGAATGGCCTAGGTTCAACTGAAAAGCTCATGAACATCAGTGAATGTTTGGGAAAACCTGGCCTGAGTGTGTTGTTTATAACAAAACCAGACTCCTGGGGAGTTGTGTATGGCTTAGTTTGGCTGTGAGCTATTATTTTTATGCTACTGATAGCAAGAGTGTGGGTGGAGGGGAAGAGGTATCAAACACAAATATCTAGAGATCACAAGGACAGGTCTGATATTATTTATACTCACAAGATGCATAGATACCGAGGCAGAAGGGACCACTTGTGATCATCTTATAACACAGGCCACAGGACTCCCCCAAAAGAATTCCTTGAGCAGATCTTGTAGAAAAACATCCAATCTTGATTTTAAAATTGTTGGTGATGAAGAATCACCCACAACTTTAGTAAATTGACCCAATGGTTAGTTACCCTC